CTGCTCATGCTAGCGGGAGAGAACTGATATCGCTGATAAATGAGGTTCTTGATCAGGCCAAAATCGAATCAGGCAGGCTGGAACTTGAAACTGTTCCTTTTGATCTGCGGTCAGTGCTTGATAATGTTCTATCACTTAACTCAGGAAAATCCAATGAGAAAGGGATCGAGGTAAAAACAAAATTTAACCATCGTATTTGATGTATTTTTCTGTAGTTGTTACTTATATCAGTTCTTGTGGTTTGGATTTTGTTTTGCGTGATAAAAGTTGGCTGCTTATGTCTCCAATATGGTACCTGAAGTTGTCATCGGTGATCCTGGACGCTTTCGGCAGATAATCACAAATCTTGTTGGGAATTCAATTAAGGTTAGATACGTTTCTTAATACTGGTTTGGTGATAAAAGCTTCCCTATTTCTGTCCCTATATTGAAATGAAAGGCTACCAGGTGCTAACAGAAATAAACTATATAGTTGGGACTTGTACACAGTTAGATGATTATGCTTAGAACTATCTGTAATTTATAGTAATTGTTTCACTTTTAGAAACTGTTTACAGGTTTTATTACGTACTCGTTCTGCTAATTGTCTGTTAACTTGTTTAAACTGTAGTTCACCCATGACAAAGGACACATATTTGTCTCGGTGCATCTGGTGGATGAAGTGAGGGCCCCACCTGATCTTATGGATGAAGTTCTAAGACAAGGCTTGAACTTAGTTGGAGATGTCTCAAACAAAACTTACAATACATTGAGTGGCTTCCCTGTTGTCAATAGATGGAAAAGCTGGGAAGGTTTTGAATCAATACGCAGCACAACACTGGAGAAATCTGATATGATCAAATTACTTGTAACAGTTGAGGATACAGGTGTAGGAATTCCTCTAGAGGCACAAAATCGCATCTTCACACCTTTTATGCAGGCTGATAGCTCCACTTCTAGAACTTATGGTGGTACTGGAATAGGATTGAGCATTAGCAAACGTCTGGTAGATCTCATGAGTGGGGAGATAGGGTTTGTAAGTGAACCTGGCACTGGAAGTACCTTTTCATTTGTGGGAACTTTTGGGAAGGGAGAATTAAGTTCCCTGGAGACAAAGCGGCACCAGTATGAACCAGCTGTCTCAGAGTATCAAGGACTGAGAGCATTGGTAATAGATAATAAAACCATCCGAACTGAGGTCACGAAATACCATATGCGGAGATTGGGAATATCTGTGGATACAGCGTCCTGTCTGGAATCAGCGTGCTCTTATTTATCTAGTGCTGGCAACACCAGGTGAATTTTATCTTTTCAAGTATAGTTTATGTTTGTAGTCGGTTTTATGTCCTGAAACAAATCATTGAAGACTCGAGGTCTTAATCTACTTCTGTAGCATTTAATTACCGTGAACATGATAAAAGGATTCTCCTCGTATGATAAGAATTCATGGAATCAACCACTTCACAGCTTTACAATTTTTTATTTCACTTTCCATAACTTCTCTAAGAAAGTGATTTGGTACGTGTACACCACCTTAAACAACTTTTCTTAAAAAGTGATTTGAGACAAGAAGAAACTAGATACTTATTCTTCATACAACTCTACGACTTTATTTAAATTATACAAGGAAAAGGTAATTGATACTAATAAGAGAATGTTTTGATTAATAACAGTAGAATTTGGGTTTGATGTTTCTAATGCATTGTTAACTGTTTTTCGTGCAGTCTTTCCACACCGTTGGCCATGGTTCTTATTGACAAAGATGTTTGGGATAAAGAAACTGGTATTATATTGCATCAGTCACTTAAAGAGCACAGGAAAAACAACAACGTGGAATCGCTCATAAACCTTCCGAAGATACTTCTCGTGGCCACTTCCATCACTTCTGTTGAACGCAATGTAGTAACATCTTTAGGTCCTGTAGATAAAGTATTGACGAAGTGGCCACTTCAGTTAAGTGTCTTAATTGCTTGCTTTCAAGAAGCCCTTGGAAGTCGTAAGAAGAGGCTTCTAAATGCAAACAAGCCAACTCTTGGAAAGTTACTAAGAGAGAAGAGAATTTTGGTGGTGGATGACAATGGAGTGAACAGAAGAGTGGCAGAAGGTGCTTTAAAGAAGTATGGAGCAATTGTCACCTGTGTGGAGAGTGGAAAGGCTGCTTTGTTGAAGCTTAAGCCACCCCACAACTTTGATGCTTGCTTTATGGATCTCCAGATGCCAGAAATGGATGGGTAATGAATCTGCCGACTCTTCATTCTCTAATCAAAGGAATCTTTAGTTTTTAACTGTCTATAATCATGCAGGTTTGAAGCAACTCGGATCATCCGTGGTATTGAAAGTGAGGTAAATGAGAAAATTGCAGCTGGGGAAGCATCAGTTGAGATGTTTGGCAATGTCGGAATATGGCACACGCCAATATTGGCTATGACGGCTGATGTGACTCAGGCTTCAAATGAAGAGTGCATAAAATGTGGGATGGATGATTATGTGTCAAAGCCATTTGAAGAAGACCAGCTGTATTCAGCAGTGGCACGTTTCTTTGAGTCTGGTTAATCGAGAGGGATTCCTATTGATGTGGTTTTTTGTGGATTGATGTCCATAGTGTCATGGGCTCTCCAATTAACACTGAGCTGCCCGGGCCCTGCCTTGACCTGGTTGAGAGACTAGTTCTATCCATATTTTCCCAACTTCAAACCATGGTAATTTTATAGCATTTCTCTTCTGCACACGTCAAAATATGTCATAACGTCTGCACCACGCTGTTTTCAGCTGTTTCAGAAATGGTTTAACACAACCCATTTTGCTATTCTTTCAGGAATACTGCGCATTGGGCCACAGAGAACGTATTCATGTGTGTGTGTATACTGGGAGACTCGTTGCCATCACTTGTCGGATCAAATACTTTACGATCATCTGCCAAGCAAAATAAGAGAAATGATGGCCTTCGGTACATACCCTCTGCTTTTGTTTGTAGATAGTGTCTGCCTCCCGCTTCCACCTCAAAATTTTTTCCTCCATTGTTTGTAGTATGTAGGTCGGGATTAAGAACCATGTAGTGCCAAAACCATCCATTTTTTGAACTCTGCTGAGATGAATGAATCTTTCATCTCCTCGGTGTTGGTACAAGATTGCAAGCTAATAAACCCGATTCCTTGAAGGATGAAAGATTATTTGTTCATTTTATCAGAGTTGATGGCTGCTTTGACATTCTACGCAGAGGGAGATCGATGAAAATACGAAAGACTCTTGATAATCGGAGATAGAGAGCGTGTGCACTTACGAGTTAGTCTGAGAATGTCTTGAAATTTTTTGTAGAGGTGTATATAACTCTGTATAAATGTTATGTAATGATCATGCTGTAGGTGTATCTTCAGAGTACCACTGAGTGTAAATTATATGCGTTTCCTATAATGCATGATTGGTTTCTCCATTGATGTTGCCAAAAACTGAGAGTACGGTTGGTTCGTTTGATAACCATATTTGTTTTTAGTTTTCACTTGTTTTGCTTGAGATACGGAGAAAGTATATAAAAGAAACGAGGGAATAAGACAGGTGGTGAGAGGGGAGGGAAAAAGAATAAAGAATGCATGAATGAAAACAAAATCTCGAAAGAGAAATTTGGAATGGTTTTCGTTTTCGTTTTGTGTACCCTTCGCTGTACATTTTTTTTCTCATCTCTTCTAACGTCCTTCCTCCAATCTTTGTCATTAAATCGATAACAAGCAATATTCTAAACTTGTATAATTTAGAATTTTCGAATAGGAAGACTTGAACTCGAGAGAAGGGGATTTGAACTTAGATACAAGCGGTGAACACCGTTGTCTTGACCAATTGATTGCCTCATAACTAGCAAGAACTTATTTAACAATTCGAATAAGCTAAATTAAAGTGGACAAAAACCGCACAAACAACTAAATTTCCACACAAGGTCAATCAACCACAATATGTATCCGAGCCCAGTATTTGGGGACTACTTGAACATAATACAACGTAAAACTGAATTCAAAAGAAAGAAAGAACTAAAAAAGAGTTAAATCTCTCGGAGCGTTCGCCGTCGCCATTGCAGTCACTTCTTTATTTTCTCATCACATTTACAGGCCTTACATGGACACCTGCGTCTCAGCATTTTCTTAAAACAACCATAACATTGACACTTGATCTCTCGGGAATCCATTCGTAGTGCGCGAGAGAGATGGAGAGCGAATGCGGTTGCTTGAGCTCAAGTACACACTGAGCTAAACCGTTTATATGCTAGTAAGCATAGATATTCTAATTGAAATAGGAACCCTAATTGCAAAATGAAATATAACACAATAAAAAGAAACCATATTCTACTAGGAAAGCTTAAACACGTAGTGGGGGATATATGTTGAATTCTTTACCCACGTAGGTGTTAATTCAAATCACCCCCCTCGTCAATTAGTTTTAAGTTAGATGCTTGGATTCTAATAATCACTCTTTGTAAACTAGAGTAGTTTGTAATATTTGCCTTGTTTAAAAAGAAATTATGACTTTGTTTTTTATGCAGAACGATAGAGCGATAGAGGAGAAATTTTCAAACACAAGGCTTGACATAGTAACATTAAATTTTACATCACATAATCTGTCTGCAACATCTCAACCCTCTTCATGATAGTATAAACACCTTCATGAATGCTAATACAACTTCCTAAGCCACCAAAGCATATTTAGTTACAATTACCAAATCCCCATCCACCCCTAAAACATAGCTTAAGATACATGAGTCTCCAATTAATTACGGATGGAATGGCCAAAAAACCAAAATTCCAAAAATCTTGTCGAATAAACCCCATTACACTGCATTAGTTTTTATATTGCACCTGAAATCAAATTTCTTTCTCCATAACACGGTAATGTGCCCATCTCTTGCATCTGCTTAAATTATTAAAAGAGATCCTTAAAACACTAATTTACAAAGTTTTACACTAATACATAATATATATATATATATATATATATATATGGAGGTGACTCTTGGCCACTGAGACTTTCATTCGGATAGGTCATCCCTAGTAAAAACAAACCTCTCTCTCTCTCTCTCTCTCTGTGAAATGTCGAATTTTCTGATAAAGGTGATAATTTCTCTGCTCGTTCTCTCAGCTGCTCCTCTCAAATCAGGTAACCTAATCACACAGCTTTTTGAGTTTCACGTCCATGCATGATGCATGTAAGTTCAGTCTCCATGTATCGAACCCTAAAAAAAACTTTAGTGTGATTTATTTTCTACTAGCATTGTCACTTAATGCGTGTGTGCGCGCACACTACATTTTTCAGTTGCGGAGTTTGAGCAATGGTGCATCGCCGACGAGCAGACGCCGGACAGCGAGTTGCAGGCAGCAATGGATTGGGCTTGTGGGGGAGGAGGAGGTGCAGATTGTAGCAAGATTCAGGTGAACCAAGCTTGCTATTTCCCAAACACTGTGAAAGACCATGCTTCCTATGCATTCAACAGCTACTTCCAAAGATTCAAACACAAAGGTGGATCTTGCTACTTCAAGGGTGCTGCTTTAATTACAGAACTTGATCCAAGTAAGTCCTTCATTATCTTTTTTTCTTTCTGTTTTTAGCATAAAACCAAAAAGAGTGAAGAAAGGAGCATGTGACATGTCCATACAAATGTTGGTGGGTTAGCCATGTGATGTGAGATTTGGATAACGTGGTTAGTTGTTTCTTAAGAGAAAAACTTGGTAGGGTACCTCATTGGGTCATTCGCAAGGCTTTCTTTAGAAAAATATAAGATTATGTATTTTGTTCTCATTTGATGTGAGAGTCTACAAGATGTCTTTGTCATGCAGCATTACCGAATATCTTATCGTTTCTTATAATTTTAGACACAATGATGGAAATTTTGAAGGAAGTTATTATGTGAAATAACTGAATGTAGTAACCCTCGTTCCGCTGAGGTTCTAAAAAAACTTAAATGTAGTAAATTTAAAATGATTATATATGTTCATAATGATTTCAATATACTAATTCCTCTTCGTTTTCTTGCTGTCAAAATCTTGGCATTAAATAGTCTAAATAAATAATTACCTAGATTTTGAATCACCAAATAAGTTCTTAAAAATATATGAAATAGCTTTTAACATGAGATTTTATCATAAGAATTCAACATGAAAACAAAAATATCAACTGTGAACTATTTAACGCCCTCCCCCTCCCCCTTCCCCTCTGTCCGTAACTTTCAAAAAAGGACCATAACTCACATGGGATCTACTGTCACTTGTTTGCTTATGATGTCAATTATTTTTGCCACAATAAGATAATATTTATTTTTTAATGTTTTCCTGCAGGCCATGCCTCTTGCCACTATGAGTTTATTCCTTGATTGAAGGGAAAATGCAAGATTCCAAATGCCCATGATTACTTTTAAATTGAAGATTGCTGCTATGGAAGCATATGTCCTGCAGAAAATTTACTCAGAAAACATTCCAAAGTGAGGTTATATTCAGCTTTCAATCATATTAAATGTTTTTTTTGTTCTTTCAACAAGTCACAAAAGGGTAACAGTACAATTATTAGTAAACCCATTCATTACGTACTGTATTTTATTTTGTTTGGTTTCCGACGTCGGATTCTTTTATTTTTCAACAGAAACTTCAAAGAATATTTCATATTCTGTAATTTCTCAAATTGAGTAGTCCGCTTGCTTTGAATATATAGGAACCATAGCCATAGGATTTGAGAGAGATCCAGCTAATGGCACCTGACATGGCATTTCCACGATTAGATAATATTTTTCATTCTGATTGTTACCACCTAGTCTTTTGCTCCTATTAAGGGTTGGTTTGGTATTGATGTGTTTTAAAAAAAAAAACTGATTCTGTTGTGCTATGAGAATAAGCTCATTTTTGCTGCTTCACGTTTTTAACTTTTTTTTCACCCAAAACTATGAAAATAAGCTGTTTTTAAGTGTTTACCAAAAACTTTTTTGAGCTCAGCTTTTTTTGATACCCACTTTTTATAAAAGCATCTCAGTACCAAACCAGTACTAAGCTTAGCCTAAGTTTTTAAGAGGGCCGGCTTATGGAACATGCGTCTTTCTGACCTGATAACTAGTATCACGTCCCCGCCCAACTCTATAAGCGGGCCTTTTTTTTTTTTTCGCAATACTTAATAAGGTCTCATGTCAATGGAATTAATTAACTCAATTCCTGGTAAAATTAAATGTGCCAAGACCTCTTACATTTGAATGCAAGATTCAAGGCAGTAGTGCAAGTGCAAGACTCCAGTAGCTCCTTTGTCATCAGAAGTAGAGCTTCTGTGAAATTGGGCTTCTGGGCTCTCAACCTGCAAGGGCTTCGGCTAATATTTGGTCTTGGGTTCTGCCATTGCTTTTGATGGGCTTTGCATATTTCTTTCGTATTTTGAGCCTTTCGACCAACTTTTTATACAAGAGACAATACAGAAAGGAAATCGAACGCGAAACTTCAAATGCAATAACAAGTACTCTTAACCGCTTAAGCTTCCAAATCGACACACAAGCAAGTTTCACGTTCATTACTTTTCATGGACACATGTTATATTTAATTACCCTAATCCCATGAGTCCATGACTCACATTAATTAAATAAAGAAAGATCTCAAGAGATATCGAGTATAATAATCCAACAAAGTTCAAAATTTGAGACAAAAATCAAGTTCTTGTGTTAGCAAATCGAAAAGGGTCGATGGAGGGGACCTACATGTGACCTAAAATGCAGAACAAAAATTGGAGTTTGATCTAGTTTTGAGTTTGAAGGGTTGGCAAAGACGGAAAGGGATCATCTCCAGATCCCTTCCACCAAATCCTACCAATCAACAAATCTGGACCCTTAAAATTTGATTCAACGGCTAAAAATAGGCAATCCTTTTAAATGTTATAATAACTTTAATCGTTGGATCAAATTTCAAAGGTTCGGATTTGTTTATTGGTAAGATTTGGTGGAAGGGATCCTGAGAGGATTCCTTTCCGGCAAACACACAGGCAAAGCCTGCAACTTTGGGGGAAGATGAGATGAGGACAAAACTTGAAAAGTGCACGGCATGCAAAGGCAGAACATGAAACATTTGGTGCTGTCAATCTCCCAAAAGCCGTAACATGGTCGGCGTGATGATAGGGAGTAGGAATTTACGTGCAACAAAGTCAAGGTTTCATCATGCCTTTTGCTTCTCTCACTCACTTCCTTCGTAGAAAGTAGGAAACTAACTAGTTATGTTTCTAATAGTTGTTTGCACGCGTAAATCGTTGTTAGATGACAGTCATTGATAGGTTGTAGTACTTATTTATATTAACAGTTGACAGTCAATCATGTACAGGTAGACGAACAATGCAGCTAGCCTAAGGAGTGGTCATACTTAGACTTCCTCGTTATTGGGAGCAAATTGTACGAAGTTCTTTAGGTTAAAACTATGGGAGGTCTTAGGGTACAACTTAGGCACATATAATTTCACCCCTTCTTTCACCTACGTCAGACAAAACATCATTACTTCGGGTTCATCACCACGTGAGACAAAACATCATTACTTTGGGTCCATCACTGCATGAGACAAAACATTATTATTTCAAACAAATGTTTACGTTATGGATATTGAATCACATATGCATCTTACGAAAAATGAACTATTATATCATGAAACGTGACTTCAAGATGAAACGTTTGCGTACATCTTGATATGCGAACATCCTCACTCGAAAGTGATATCCTATATCTATATGTACATGCATCTATCATTGTTTGATTGGTCGATATAATGGATGCAAACGATGAAAGCACAACAATAAAACCACTTGAGAAGATTAGAGATCCTTTTCACTTGAGCAATAAGCTAATACTTATACTTACTTCAAGCAAAATACTAATCATCTCTTTCTCTCTCTCTCAACAAAATGCCAAGTGGAGTAATGGAGAAAGGGCGACTGAAGATAAGAGAGTGGGCCATTAGGTACACTCACTTAGAGGGGACAAAGAAGTAACAAGATTCCTATTTCAGAAATTTGCACTCTCCAGTAAAGGGACGGTGATATTCAACACTCAATTGATTATAGTTGGATAAATTTGATTTAATTTATTAACTATATAATTTTGAAATTTAAACTAATTTAATGATAATTAGCAGGGTAGTGACCGAATGTCACCACGGCTTAAAGATATTGAGCAAAAATGCACTCTTTTTGCATAAGTTCTTTTGCAACTTTGATTCTGCAGATTAACATAATATTAAATCATATTTAGGGATGAGAGTCACTTGCATGATAAACATCGATTGATTCAATGTCTGAAATTCTTTTGGGGTTAATTAAATATTTATATGCTTTTGGAATAAGAATTTGATTGTGATTTCTGCACTCACATCTTCTAACTTTCAAATAAATATTTTGTATTTTATGTATTAGCATGCGCATAAAGTGCTTCACCAAAAATTAGTACTACTGATCATCAAGGGTGGAGAATTGACTGTGGCCACACATGGTGAAATTCCTCATAACTTCTTTGGGGCGAATGTGACATCCCACATCGTCCATGGGAGTGATCCTTATACGTATATTCCCATTCCTACCTAGCACGAGGCCTTTTGGGAGCTCACTGGCTTCTGGTTCCATGGGAACTCCGAAGTTAAGCGAGTAGCATGCGAGAGCATTCCCAGGATGGGTGACCCACTGGGAAGTTCTCGTGTGAGTTCCTAGAAACAAAACCGTGAGGGCGTGGTCAGGGCCCAAAGCGGACAATATCGTGCTACGGTGGTGGAGCGGGCCCGGGAAGTGGTGCGCCCCGGGTCGGGATGTGACAGCGAAAATGAGTGGATAAGCATGATTTATCACAATTTATTTATTTTTTGAAAGAAAAAATAAATTCAAGGGCAAAGAATAAATGAATATTTACTTAGCGTAAATTAAATATATAGAGTAAATTGCAATTATAGTAAAAAAATTATTACTCGATTATCGCTTCCCTTTTCTTCTGATATTTCATCCACTTATATTTGTTTATATAGCGGTATATTTACTTTAGGGGGTGAAACATTAAACTGGTGTTAAACTCGTTTACAGAATTGAAGACATCTTATTTACAAATAAAGTAAAAAATAATACCGCTAAATTGTAGTACTTAAACGATTTCATCGTTTCCTTGAATTATAAACATATTTGCATCATTTTATATAGTTTCATATCAATTTGGAGGAGGGTAAATCCCCATCAAAGTTGTTTTGCAATTAAAAGAAGAACAACTTGGATTAGGAAGACAAAGAAAAGCTCTAGTGGAAGTGGAAGGCACTACTTTTTGAACTTTCCTACGTCATCTTAATTTATCACTTTAAAATTAACATAACAAGGCTCTCTGTGTGCTCAACCGTGTGTGTCACTTTCTCAGATTGACCCACTAAACCCTTTATCCTACCATTTGTACCCCTCCACTCTTGTAGATTAAGTTGAATTTAGCTTGTAAATAATGTTATAAACTAATAGTAATCTTAAGTTAACTGGACACATGCGCTGATTCAGATCGTTGATGCGACGCATAAATGAGTTGATTATGCTTGAGATTATAGTATTAGATCGACTAAGCTACATGTTATAAATGTAGAAGGAATTTGCAAGCAAGGAGAATGAATGTACTTGGTTTCGTCGGTGATTAGTAAGATCTGTTTCAAGCAACATAAATATGCGCTATATTGTCAATGACTGAATAATTTTATTATTACGGTCCATTAAGATTCTGATATTCGTTGCTTTGATTGATTATGAAAAAAAGGGAATATTGGTCTTATGACTTCATATCTAGCTTAAGAACCTATGATGCCATAGTATCCACATAAGATCTCATTTGTAGTATTTTAAAGCTAATTCATTAAAGTTTGCAGTTTGGCATAATCTTACTTTTGCTTTTATTCTTTCTTTTATGATTTTTTTTTTTTTAATTTTATACCAACAATAATTTCCTATAAACCAAATTAAATCATAGGAAGTAGAAGTTGAACTTAGTTGTATAAAGAAAGCACATCCACTCTAAGTAATATAATTGTGTTCTCGTTTTTATGGTGTTAGAACATCCTCAATGGAGACTTTATTGTCTATGACTCTACATTTCAAGTCTTAATGAGAAATTTCATCCCTAATGAACCGAAAAATGGAGCTAGATCCGCCATTGATTGGGTAGCATAAAATTGGGCTAGCTCCAAAAAAAAACAGTGGGTCCCACAAAAAAGTAGCAACCCATATGAGCAAAATTCTATCACTTTTTCTTCACTTGCAAATACATTTATACTCTCCTATATTATCTTTTAAATTCTTTTTTCTTACATATATTTCTCGTAATTTGGCTAATTAATGATTGTTTTAAATTTCATAATAATTAAAATTTCAATTTGGTTTAATGTTCATGGGCACTAGTGGGTGAAATTTTCAAATAATTTTTTTTGCAAAATTGTATGATACTAATTTACCAATTGATGCTAGGTAAATTGTATGTTGTACGTGAAAATCAAATTATTTCTGAGAGTGAAGTGAGAGTTTTTATCTTTCAACAGATGTGATTGAAATAAAAGAATTTAGTCCAACAAACGATTCATACATGATGAAATCTAATTTTATCACAATTTGAACTTATGAAAATATAACTATGTCACATATAAAACCCGAAAAAAATAACCCCTCATGGACATGAAGCATATGGTGGTTGCGTGGAA